GAACGGATTTGGAAGAACAGTTCTCAGTTTGAAGCTTAAAATTTGAAAGGTTTGACCAAGTTTTGACTTGTTAGTATATGATCTCGGATTGGAATTTTTATGATTTGGTTAGCTGCGTTAGGTGATTTGGGACTTAGGAGCATAATCGGAATGTGTTTTGGATGTCCGGAGTAGATTTAGGCTTAAATTGGCGAAAATGAAATTTTGGCATTTTCTGGTTGATAGGTGAGATTTTGATATAGGGGCCGGAATGGAATTCCGGGAGTTGTAGTAGGTCCATTGTGTCATTTGGGACGCAAAATTTCAGATCATTCGGACGTGGTTTGATAGACCTTTTGATCAAAAGCGGAATTTGAAAGATTTTTGGAACCTTATGCTTGAATCCGATGTTATTTGGTTGATTCAATGTTGTTTGAGGTGTTTTGAAGATGGGTATAAGTTTGGATATTTGTATATGACTTGTTCGTGCTTTTGGTTGAGGTCCCGGGGGCCTCGGGTTGATTTCGGATGGTTGACGGGAGGTTTTGGAGTTGAGTTTGACAGCTGAAGATTTATGGTTGCTGTCATAACCGCATCTGCGGTTGGGAGGCCGCAGGTACGACTACCGCAGATGCAGAAGCAAGCCGCAGAAGCGGCCAAGAGGTGAGTCAGGCAGAGCCGCAGAAACGGACATCTGGCCACATCTGCGATGGCGCAGGTGCGAGAGAGTGATCGCAGGTGCGGTCCCAGACCTTTAAGAGAAAACCACAGGTGCGGTGGGTTAGATCGCAGAAGCGGTACCACAGAAGCGGAAAATGACCGTAGGTGCGGAATCCCTAGGTCAGAAGGTACATATTTCACCCTTCACGATTTTTGGCCATTTTTCTCAATTTTTCATTCGGGGTGAAGCTTTTGGGAGCCATTTCAAGGAAGATTTTCAGAGGGATTCATTGAGGTAAGGTCCTTGGTCCCTAAGCTCATTATTATGGTGATTTTAATAGTTGTTAGCATGAAATTTAAGGGAAATCAGTTGTAAATTTGGGGATTAGGGCTTGGTTAATTGGAGAGCTTTGAGTGGTGATTTGAGGGATCATTTGAGGTCCGATTTTGGTACTTTTGATATGCATGAACTCGTGGCGGAATAAGGAGTGTATTGATGTATTTTTTATTGGATTTCGAGGTGTGGGACCGGGGGTCGGGTTTGGCCAATTCCGGAATTGTTTTATGTAAATTGGATATTTTCGAGTGGGCTTTGTTCCCTTAGCATATTTTGATGGTATGAATATGCTTTTGGCTAGATTTGGAGCATTCAGAGGCCGAGTCGAGAGGCAAAGGCATCACGGGCTAGATTTGGAGCAATCGGAGGCCGAGTCGAGAGGCAAAGGCATCGCATCCTAGAGTTTGGACCGGATTGAGGTAAGTAATGATTGTAAATGTCTATCCTGAGGGTATGAAACCCCGAACTTCACATCGTTATGCCACTTTGAGGTGACGCACACGCTAGATGACGAACGTGAGGTCATGCACCGTTGGAGATTATGACTTGTCCGTCCTGTATGACTGTTTTACTGTGTATTTGATTGAAAACTGTTTGCTATCATCATGTTTTGGGCTGAATGCCATATTTGGACTTTGTGCCAACTGTTTTGGGCCCTTAGAGGATTTTTACTACTATTCCTAAAACTTCACATTTTTACTTAGTCATGCTATATTCTACTGTATTCATCACTTAGCCATATTTACTCTGTTTTGACATCATAAATGATATCTTGGGCTGAGCATCATATTTTACTGTGCCCGAGTGGCTTTAAGAGATTTCTGACTGAGTGAGGCCGAGGGCCTGTGTTGTGAGGGTATTATGGGATCGGGATGTGTGCTACAATGATATTATACTGATTCATGATTATGAGGCCGAGGGCCTGAGTTGTTACGCCATGAGGTGGCTTGGTATGAGGCTGAGAGCCTGTTTGATTATGCCACGAGATAGCTTGTTATTGCGCTTGGGCCGTAAGGGGCCCCTCCCGGAGTCTGTACACCCTCAGTGAGCGCGGGTACCCTGAGTGAGTGATATATTGAATATGCCACGAGATGGCTTGATATTGATCTTGGGCTGTAAGGAGCCCCTCCCGGAGTCGTTACACCTCCAATGAGTGCGGGTACCCAGTGTGAGTGATATGTTGTAGCCCGAGGGGCTGTTGTTGTTTCATATTGATGCCCGATGGGCTGTTCTTGATTCATATTATTCCCGAGAGGCTCATTACGAGTGATTGTAAGGTAGCCCGAGGGATTGGTTCTGTTGATATTATGCCCGAGGGGCGGTTTATGGTACATACTTTGCCCGAGGGGCTGTTTACGTTTCTATCATTTTTACTCACTATTTTTATCACTCATTCGAAACTATTTAAAGTTGTTTTAAAAGGTTTTTACCGAAACTGAGCTTGATTTACGAAGAAAATGATTTCTGTACTGTTTTAGAAAGGTACTACATTTGCTGTAGCGTTGTGCTGTATTTTACGTGTTTTCTTACTGCTCAACTTTTATTTACCTTTATTACTTACTGAGTTGGCGTACTCACATTACTCCCTGCACCTTGTGTGCAGATTCGGGAAAATTCTGAACATGATAGCGGGTGCTGATTGTTCAGTGGCAGAGTCATCGGAGTTAGCAAGGTAGCTACCCGATGTTTGCAGCATTGCCTTTCTCCCTCTTGTCTTCCTTACATTGTATTTAGGATATTTTTAGACTATTCGTTGTATTCAGATATTCGTAGATGCTCGTGACTTGTGACACTCCGATGTCGGGCTTGTGTATTTTATTCTGCACTGTTCATTTAGACTCTCATTATGAGATATTTGATTAATTAAAGACTTAAAAAATGACTTTTATTGATAAATGGTTAATTCAGGAGCTGTGTCGGCTGACCTAGTTTCACGATAGGCGCCATCACGATCGGGTCGGTTCTAAGGTCGTTATCCCATTTCCCCATAATGGGGGCAATTTTTTGGGGTAATGAAACTCCAACCCTCCCCTATTTTTGTCCCCGAAATGGGGGATGAATAGTGTTTCCTCAAATATGGGGGTACACTATTCATCTCCCCCATTACTATTTATGTATTTTTTATTATTATTTTATTATTTAATATTTTAATTTATCTCTTTATATATACCTAATTATGTTTATGTAATATCTTTATAATATTAATTTTACATCTTAACTTTGGCGTATAATTTTGATAAATTAATTTTCGTGCATTTATTATTTTTATGTAATATTGTAAGTTAAATTTATTAGAGGTTGAAGTTGAATATTTATGTAGTATTTCGAATGAATTTTATCGTTATGTAATATGGATTTAATTAATTTTGTATCGCAATGATTTCACCTTTATTTGAATTATTAGTTAATCTATAATAATTTCTTCGAAATTATATTATTTAAAATTTTGTGGAATTGTTTTAATGGAAATTATAAATTAATAAAAATAAAAGATGGAATTTATTTAATAAAAATTTAAAAATAAAATTGAAATGAAAGATAATAATATAATATAGAAGAAAGAGAAGAATATAAAAAGGTTTGGGGGAAAAATAGGAAAATAGTTGGAATAAATTATCCCCAAAATAAGAAAATCTTTATTTTGAGAACCAAAAATGAGGTAAAGGTTGAAGAGGCCTAAGGAGAGAACACGCCCTTGACTTGGAGAGTTGCCTTCTGTTAGTATACTAGATGATCTTGCCCATGCTTCGCATGGGCCCAACAATTTGCAGTCTAAAGTTCTCTTCATTTGTAGTAAAGATTATAACCACATGATATTGCTTATTCTCTAACAATTTAAAGTCTAAAGTAATGGTCAATTCACTGCCAAATTTTCTCCTAAGTTGAAACTGAAATCTTGAAGCTTTGAAATAATTGAGGCAAAAATAGCACAAGTGTCTAGCCTTGTATACTGAACCATAAATGTAAACCAATACAACAGCAAATAGAAGATAAAAGAGGATACAACATGATTTGTTTTATTAATTTGATCATGTCTACAAAAATAGGGCTCTAGCTTTTGAATAAGATAAAGCAATCCTATTCTGTTTCCCAAGAATTCAAAATCTATCTCATCTCTCAACGTCGCTGCATCAACTTCCGAGCACATCTGCACCCAATGCAAATTAAAATCCCCATTACACCCATTTATATGTATTGATATTTTATTTTATGCACAAAGTTTTGTAAGCTTACATAAAATGTTGTCACAACACCAGCAGAATCACAAACTACAACCTATATACCAAGAATGTGAATATTCAAATGTTAAGAAAAGGAAAAGAATGTAAGAAATAAAAACATTTGGGTTTTAATCACCTAATACTTGGTCTAAGGTGAGATAGCAGATATGTCCATGTGAGAAGTCTTGAAACGAGTACCAGTTTTCCTGAAGTTGTTTTCACCTCCCATGAGAGGGCACCAACAGGACAATAGCCAATTCCACACAGAAACTTCAATTGAAGAGCATTATATTCACCCGGTCCNGATTAACTCAAGATGACAACAGGTCTATTGTTATATTACTGATTTACTGGTAATAGCCACTCTTCAGTTTACTCATGAATTTTTGTAAAGGAATTCTTCGAGCTTTAATTAATCCACTTCAGATTATTTCCTACTTCTGCCCTTCCTCTCCTTATTGCTTTTACTTTACTGAACGTGATGAATAGGCATTGCTTTATAATTCTCAGTCTTTCTTCAATGTCACTCAAAACAATTTCTAGAGATCAACGTCAAGAGAAATGTTAAGCACAAGAGCATTTTATTCAATTACAAATGATCTAAAAATAGAGCACTTTATTCAATTATATAAGAAGAAGTATCACAGAGTTCAAATGTAGCAACTTATCCAAAGAAAAGAATTATATGTGGAACAACTTACCCATCACTTCTAGTTTCTGAATCTGATATTTTAGTTGGTCAGGATCCTTCTTCAATATACCCACTTCTGTCACTTTCTTCCTCTCTTTCTTGTTCTGGGAAAGAGGTCGTCCTTAGAACCATCCCTCAATTTTCCTTCTGTCTCCAATAGATGTCCCATAAGACTCAAAGCTTGTCTGTGCGTACATAAAAATGTAGAATATGCAAGTAAAAACGATAGGCTTCAAGGTTATGTCCACAAAGCATATAAGCAAAATAATTAATCTGAACCAATCTCTTTTCCTAATTTTCTGTCGTATCACATTATATATGGTATAAACATATAGCCATTGCTAGATAATAGATGTTTCCTATCAAAGAGTTAATCTCACAACTTCAGACGAATCCTATAATAAGGATGAAGTATATGAAGCCACTCAACATTTAAGACATTTAGAATGAGGATACATGAGCATATAGCTATAACAGTACAAGTGCAAGAAAAAGGTCAACTAACATAAACTTATAGCTACTTCTATTTCTCAAATTTCTCATCAGTAGTAAAATGTAAGAAAAATCACATGAACTGTTTTTAGGAAAAAAAACTCAATATTTAAGAAAGGGGGGGTTAAAGGCGACATTCAAATCAGGGGCTTCTTCAGGACACAATTAACTAAAGTTCCTTTTCAATTCCTGTTTGATACAATAATGCTTAAAAAGCTTTCACCACTTTTTTATTTTTCATTATTTCTTTCCAAGTAATATAATTCTATACTATTTATATGTGACAACAAAATTACCTAACCTGTTTCACAACAAAGCAATGAGCCCTCTTATAACAGGAGAATCCTGCTTCGTAAAAATACTGCTAGCCCTAGAAGATGATGCATTAGCTGAGTTACGAATAACTAAATTGTCAAGAAAACAACATTTTTTCAATTCAATTTAATTCAGCTCTGTAATTTCGTTTTCATGCAATTCTCTCAACTTTGAATTACTCTTTTCTTTTCCCTTTGTGACATGCAATTTCACAAACACATAACAGGCAAACTGAAAGTGAAGCTGCCAAAGAAAAACAATTAAAACCTAGCAAGCAATTGGTGATTCCTTAGACTTATTTAAACCCAGAAGCAACACAGGAAGAAAGAGAAGTAATTACTTCCAAAATGCAGGGATCAAATCTTAAGAAGTAGAGTAAGAAAAAACCAAATAGAGAGACACAAATTGAGAAAGATGGAAATTTTTAAAAAGAAGAAATATGACCATCGGATATAGAAGAGACAGAGTCAAAGGAATCGGTAGAAAAACAGAAGAGAAATGCTCATTTTGTGACAGAATCGTGCACTCTATATGATTTTGTCGAGTGAATAAGCACATGACTTTGTTAAAGCTAATTTCGTGCACTTTAAATGATTTTCGCTCGACAAAATCAAGATTGTAGCTGTCTGAAATCAACCTGTGCTACACATAAGCGAAGTAAAATTAAAAATTCACCTTAATTACTGAAGCCAGTCTATATGAATATCCCACCTACAAGCTACAACTCAATAGAGAAGAATATTACCAAACCATGTAGCATGACCAGACAGTTCAAGAACAAAGCGAGTAAGTACCATAAAACAAATGATACCTATTTTGTTTTATAAGGTGAAATTTGGAGATGAATGACTTGTGAAAAACATAGAAATTTTCTCTAGAAAGATGCAGTCATTTGAAGACCAATGAAAGATGGCAAGAAATTCAAAGCTATTTGACTTATGGGGTGCCAATGCAAGAAGTTCATCAGAAAGGCATAGATTATTTGACGGCTGGACAAAATCAGTGTTGTCTATCTTCGTTAGTTAGAGGTGCTTACGGAAAACTGATTTGCGATTCTACTACCATAATATAATCACCCACAAGAGAACATACTTGTTATTATTCACACCAAGGTTGAAGAGGGCTATGATTTCAATTTCTTGAGCAATCAAAATTAGCACAGACGTTTCAGGAGAAAGAGGAAACCTGAGGGTTGTTTAATTCCATAACAGCCCCCTGCAGCAGCTATGTAAATATTTTCAAAAGCTTATCCTTTGCTGCCAGACCAATTCGACAGTTGTGCATTAACTCGTGTATTATGACGCAACAAATAATACTGGGTCATTTAGTTTCTGTCAAATATATATGATGTCAATTATTTGTATGTATTCATAATAGTTGAATGAATATAATAAAGACATTAAAGAAGATTAATTGGACAACTTCCAGTAGTAAAACTAATCACATCATTGAAATATGCAAAGATATCCATATAAAATCAAATAATGAAACAATCTCTAAGGTAGAAAATGAAATTACTATATCAAAATTTGGTTAGTGTGACAGTACCTTTTAGTACCAACTTGTGAAAATATTTTACTTTAGAAGATCTTTTTAAAATACCTGCAACACAGATTATACGTATCAGTAAGCAGTAAAGGAATATAAAGACATCAAAATAGAAGATGAATAAATTTTTAATTTATTTCTCATTTTGTTTCTTAAACGAACAACAAATTTTTTTCCCCAACATATTGAATAGTGATGTATAAAAGTTTATAAGAGGAAATCAGTAAGTACATTCAAATGAAGAAATAAGATACAATTGTTATTACCAATATACAATAGACCGTCCTCCTTTATCCGGGCTTGGGACCGGCTGTGTTACAATATAATTTGAACACAGGCGGAGTTAAAAATATATATTTTTTTTTGATGTAAATGTCAGTCAGGTCAGCTTCACAGAGTTGGAAAAAAATCACATAAATATGCAAGTTGCTATTGTATTTATAGATTTGTAAAGATGAATGCTTTGACTTATTGGTCTTGGAAAGTTTCACAATGTAAATATTCTGATTTGTATATTTGGCATCCAAAAACTATATCAGATGAGTAAAAGTTTAGGAAGGATTTGTAGATACACAAGTCAACTCTTATTTAGCACATAGTAAATTGCAGAGAAACTATCTCAAGTCTCAAGAAAATTATTGAAATAAAGAATATAAGGTTAAACCAGGAATATAAAGAAGAAAGCTACAGACTTATAGAAGTGCTTTTTGAATGATTTCGTCATACACTATGTTATATGTAGAATGGTCATCATCGTTATCTACGGTTGGTGGTCGGATTAATATTTTAATACAACTTGAACTCTTTGCTCTGGATAAAGCAACATATAGCTGGCCATGAGAAAATACTGGCTCACGCAAATAAATACCAACATAATTTAATGTTTGCCCTTGCGCTTTATTTATCGTCATTGCAAAACACAAGCGTACTGGAAATTGAGTTCTTTTAAATGGGATTGGTAGCTTCTCATCATCTGAAGATAACAATGATATTCTGGGAATAAATACATGCGTATCTTTAAAATCACCACTCGAAATTTTAGCACTTATAACACGGCTCTTAAAATCACAGCATATCAGTCGTGTACCATTGCATAAACCCTCACAAGGATTTAAATTTCGCAGCAACATAACAGGACAATTTTCCTTCAAGATTAATTTGTAAGGAGGCAAACCAGCAGGGTTCAATGAATGTAAAAAACCCTCAAACTGGCTCTGATCATTTGGTTCAACAGTTTCATCTATTGCAATAAATGTTTTAGCTTCTTTAGGGAATTGAGCTATAAGTCTATCATTTATTTCATCAACAAAGTCATTTTTTGTTATCAAAATAACGCGCGAAGTTAAAAAAGAAGAATTGTGAAGAGACATGTGCAAATTAGGATATATTATGTTGAATAAAAGATCCAAAGATTCTTTTTCAGTAATATAAGGAACAATGAAAGACTTTGGAATTTCTATTTTATTATCCATGTTTGTTTTTTCTTTTCCATTTCCAATTCGCATCAAATATTCACAAAAAGAGGGATCAATTTTGGCACGCATATTCTCTGATAACTGCAATTTTTCAAGTTTGTTCCATATTTCGAAGTTCAATATGCTTTCTCGAATGAAATCTTCCTTTTTTCCACTTCGAACCACAGGAAGAGTTTGTCTAAAATCCCCTCCAAACACAACAACTTTTCCGCTGAAAAGCACATTTGTGTTCATTATATCTTTCAAGAGAGAATCTAAAGCTTCAATCATGTTCTTTTTTGCCATTGATACTTCATCCCACACAATCAATTTTGCATCATGAATCAAAGATGCCAATGAGCTTTTCTTTCTAATATTGCAAGAAAATTTTTCATCGATATTAATCGAAAATTTAAAACGTGAATGAACTGTTCGTCCTCCTGGAAGGATCGAAGCTGCAACTCCAGAAGTTGTTGTTGCTAATGCTACAAATCCTTTAGATCTCACAGTTGCTAATAAGGCACAGTATAAAAACGTCTTACCACTTCCTCCAGGACCATCAATGAAAAATGCTCCTGATTCATTGACAAATACTCTTTGCAAGATTATGTCGTATGCTATTTTCTGTTCTATATTTAATTTTCTATGTAACAACAAATCTTCGTTACCCACAATGATGTTTCTTTCGAAATATGCTTCCTTCGCTTCATTTGCCATTTTCGAAGATGTAATATTTTCTGAAACAAGATTGAATTCATTAATATCACGACCCATAGAATGTAGTATATCATTGATGTGATTCAGAACAGCGAGGTGGATATCTTTTGCTGTTATATTGGCTAGAATTTTAAAATCTTCGGACATTGAATCTTCAAACTGTTCCCGTAGTTCTCCTGGATTGTTAGGGCTACAGTATACTAATATTGTAGCAAATAAACGTATTAAACTATAAGGCATTTGATAACATGCAGCCTCTAACATACATTCAATCAAGCTGTTATCACAATGTAACAACCCTTTTTTTTTTCTGCAGATTCTCTATATGTGTCGCAGCATATTTCATTTACCGTTAGAAGATCTTTGTATGATTTTGGTGCTCTCACATTCATTAGTAATAATCTAAGGTAATATCTTTCTCCCTCTGTTGGATGACATGTTACAACCCGGCCAATAACGTGACCTTGTTGTCGTCGAGTCCACATTTTATAGCTAGATGACCATACGAAGTGTTGTGAAAAATCTTTATACATTAATTTAAGCTCTTTAGCATCTTTATTTGTTTCATTCATCAAAAAGAATTCTGTCAGCATCGTCTTCTTGATCATAGGATTTTTCACGATACTATCTATTGTGTCTTTTTTTAAAAGAGACAAATTGTAGTCCATCAAGATGTAATGGGAGGTGGTAAACACTCGGAGTCATTTCACTAATAGGAAATGCAAATAAGCGCCACATAGCTTCTGGAGGTGACACCCATCTAGCAGATTGATACTCTTTTATCTCATCTATTTGTATATTTGTGTTATCTTCATGTAAGCCAAATGATATCTTATCATGTCCTTTAAAGATATATTTGTATATATATTTCACAACTTTAATATCGGAGCAAACTTCTACATTTATATGGCAATTGTATTTACATAGCAGATAGGGGTTGTAAGGAACAACCCATGAGTTATCAAGAAATTGTTTTCTAACTTTCACAGATTTACCAGTATTTCGTCTTCTATAAATTGGGTATGAGTTCTTTTCTTTCGTCGTCTCATCAACGAAACTCTTGGGGTACTTAAATTTGCACTCATTTCTTTTCATACATAAATTTGTGGGATTTAAATGACCACAAGGCCCATGCATCATGTGTTTAACGACAAGCTTATGTAAGTATGAGTATATATCAGGGTCAGGCAACTTAGCACAAACAAATTTGTCATAAGCCTCGGGCGTTAATAATTTGTATTCATCAGTAAGTATAACAAGAAAATGGGCATGTGGAAGACCGGGTTTTTGAAATTCTAAACTGTACATAAAGGCGACAACTTTTCCAAATATGCTTCTTTTTAATATATCTGTTTTCATCTCTTCTACCTTTGCTCTGAATACTCGACTAATTAAATTAGGCCTATTTTGAGTTTCGTCTGTTGGGAGCAAATGTTCCTTTATTTCAAGCCAAGAGGGATTACATTTTATGGTCAGAAATATATCAGGCTTTCCAAAATGCTGTACTAACGCAATAGCATCCATATAACGTTGACGCATATCTCTCGGACCACCCGTAAAACTTGTTGGAAGAAAGTTTTGTTTTCCTATCTTAGAAGCTTCTCTTTCGCCAAGTCTCAAGATATCTAAAAGTCCTTGTAGTACATCAATTCGAAATAAATCTTGGTTAAATGAGGCAAAATCTAATCTTTGAGTTTCTACTTTTATGAATTCATCAACTGAATATTGTTGAAATAATCTACCAGAATGTAAAACTCCGTTTTCCTCATTGTCTCTCATATGGAGTTTGTAATAGTAGTATTCACGACAAGAAACATTATTTCTTTTTTGTTTCCCCTTTTGCAGGACATCCGCTTCCATATCAAGTAGTCCATCAATTGAACACATGTTAGAGACACTCGGAAGCTGCTCAGTCTCATAGTAAGCTCGCTTTCTCAATTTAATTCTAGGTTGTACGATTTTTGGAATACCGCAATGCCAGCCGTTTTGACCATAAGGAAATAAAAGTGGATATTGCAAAGGATCAGAGCAACAATAATAGTAATTTACTAATTGGCTTTTGTTACTGTGAGTATAAATTCAAATATGGGGTGTAAAACTATTATTGCTCATTTCTTGTTCTAGCCATAATGCTGCTACTTCTGACACAGTTGGCAGATTATATACTCGTTGATCTAAGCCAGAGCCACATCTCAATGCAATATAAAAGTTTGATAATTCTGGAATATGTATTAGAGATTTCAAGAAGATACAATAAGGATTTATCTTTAGTATGTTCATTAGCTTCTGAACAATTGATTGTCGAAGTATATCCGACGAAGCCATTCGTTTTAATATTTCTGCATTCTCATCGTAAAAATACAACTGTAAATTTCTTGGTCGCCGATTTTGTTGGAATTAAATCATTTATAAAGTGATACATTTGACCTTGTACTCTAAATGTATAAATTCCTTGGTTTCTTTTTGCTAGTACTTTGTCATAGTGCACCCCAAGGGAAGTAAATGCAAACATATTGTTGTATAATCTAAGGTAGGTACGGAAGTGTTCAGATTCTTCGGTATTGCCTAAATATAAATTCAAGAGTTCATTAGGCATTTCATGTGACGTCAACTTAACTGAACCATTGCTACAACAAAATGCCGGTAGCTCATATTCAAATCTTTTTGCTCCACAATATTTACAATCTGGTACAGTTTTTAAAATGGTTGCATCAGTGGGTAGTTCTCTAATGTTCCAGTTCCAACTTATTATTTTTGATTTAGAACCTGTGTATATTAGTTGCAACAATATATCCTATTAGTGTTGAGAAGAGAGAGGCAGCAGGTGGTGTTATAAGATTAAATTGAGATAAACCTAAATTAAATTGAGACAAACCTTTGTTTATGACAGTAGATGTCTCTACATGATGTCGGTCACAGGGTGCACCAGAGGTCGAACCTAACATACAAATAATTCTAATTAGTATATTAAAAGGGAGTACAGTCAAGTTACAAAAAAACATACTTTCACTCACTTACCATGTTCAAAAATGGAGAAGTGATCAGCAATATTTTTTCCTTTGTGACAATCAACTACTGCCCCCACAGCTGAAGATATACCTGCTAATATGGAAATCTAAATATGTTTAGTAAGAGCAAATTGTATTTAAGTACAATCACGACGAAGAACACATATATACATGCATATATTTCTGTCTACAAATAGTGTATATGTGGATGTGTCTTTTGTTCTAATAAATCTTTTTCGGTTTCTAACCTTTCCCAGCAATGCATGGTGCCTCGACTATTGTCAGAGTTTTTTCTGTATGCAGCTCAAACCCAGCAGCTTGTTTGGTATATTCAAGCAGCGCAGTCGAACCCTTTTTTAATTCAAGTTTTTTTGATCGCCGGCGTGTTAAAAGCAATTCTTTTTTATCAACTGATAACTGCTTGTATAGATCACGTCTCCTACGATTAATTTTAGAGACGATTTCTGTTGAGCACTGTTGCTTCCTTTTCTGCGCACAACAAGCTGACGGTAAATGCTTTTTAACAGTTGACATCTGCAGTTCAAGTAATCTATAAAACTTTAACATCAAATCTGCAGTAACACCGATTTCTATATATGAAATGTTCTACAAACAGATACAGAGAGTTACAGTTCAAAGTGTGTATTTGTTATTCTAGGCAAATAAGATGGTGACCAATACAAAGAATTCAATAGTGGTAACGCTGGAAAGCAAACGAATTAATACTATAATTGTTTCTTATTATAGAATTAGTTTTTGTATATGGCAGAAACTTTGAACATTGACTATGGTTTTAGTGTACAATAGAAAGAAGAGCACAACGATAGACGAAGCTTCTAAATATTTATTGGTAACTTATTAAAAAAATAGTCAAATTACTAAACGTGTTAAAGCTGTTACACCACTGGAAGAAATACAAACTATTGTCAAATTTCAAATAGTTTTAAGTTGATTAGAGGAAATTATTGAAAACATGAAAAAGAATCTCTGCTGTAGCTGCATTATTAGTTGCCTCAAGAGAATGAAAAGAAGAAACTTCATTCTTTCTCATTTTCTTTTGTAGACCTTTCAACTGCTAACTCAGGAATTAACTTTTAACAATTATTTCACTGCCTTG